CACTCCATGATTTAGTGCACTGTTTATCCCTCCACCCTTCCCTTCTGTCTACACTCTACACAATTCACTGTCAGGGAAAAAAGATGAGGTGGAAACATCCACGTTGTTTAGGATGGACTGGTCCAGCTCCCCTTTCTCACATGAACTAATAGAAATGCACACAGCTTCACCCAGAGAGAAAAGACACAGCCCTCCATCCTTTGTCCCAAACCTCTCCAGCCTGCCTGGTATGCCTTCTTGTTCTACCTACTTTAGATGCTCATTTTAGCAGATCTCACTCGAAAATAAATGGTTGGTTTCAGTCTCTCTCTGATGCTGGTGCTCACCCACTATAGGATGACACACATCCTGTCTTCCTGGTCACATGACCATGGCCTCGGAGTGTGGATCTCCTCTCTGGCTTCATTAGAGCGTCTTGATGTGCTAAGCATCTGAGTGCACGCAGCAGGGAGGGGTGGATCTATCCCAGAGGAAAGGCTGAGGTTTGTCTTCAGGTGTATTGATGCAGCTCAACCAGCAAAACCAGAAAACGGGGACAGACATTGGTGGGAAGATTTAAAGAAAACATCTTGTGGTAACAGGTCAAGAGGTGGATCTTTGAAAACCACACATTTCTCTTCTGTTTAAGTAAATACACTTGTACTAATAAGAAGTGAGGTTTCCCTACATAGAGGAAGTGAAAGATAAGTGAGAGGAAAAGAACCCCTAGATAACAGAGGTTTTTTATCTTTGGCAGTAGCCACATAGAAAACAAACTGTATTGGGGAGGATTTAAAGTCTTCACATACTGCTATATTTTAAATGGCTAATCAACAAGGACCTACTGTATATCATAGGGAACTTTGCTCAATGTTGGGTGGCAGCCTGGATGGGAGAGGGACTTTGGGGGAGAAATGGATACATGTATATGTATGGCTAGTCCCTTTGCTGTTCACTGAAACTATCACAACTTTGTTTGCTAGTATGCAATACTCTAACACAGAATAAAATGTTTTGTTGAAAAATAAAAGCAGCCCTCCTTCATCAAGAAGGTTTGTAAACAGTGCTGTTGTTGAAAGCATCAACCCTTGTGGAGAATCCCAGTTTAACATAACTGCAGACATTTTCTAACAGGCCACTACCTTCCCCTCACAGCTGCCGGTGGCTGGGTTTTGATGTTCTCAACTTTACCATGCCTTCATACGTTGCTGTGGGGAAAACAAGGGGCCAAGATGAAGAGGATTTATCAAAGAATGACTGACCCAAAACTTTGTCTTCTATGCTGTCTGACCCAAACAAACAATTTGAACCCTTATTCAAAAGAAAACTCAGAAATCTCCATCTCCCCTACTCAGAAAATTTTTCTCTTAAAGCTCTGTTAGTACATTGGAAAGAATATTCAGAGGTTGAAACTAATAAAAGCCATTATGAAGATCTAGAAATTAATTTGGGTGAAAGGAAGCTTTAACCAACACATGATTTTATGGCATAGGGAGAAGTGTCTTTGCATTAGATTCTTGTTTGGTAAAAAAAAAACAAACCTAATTGTGAATTGAGTTACTATTCAAATGCTATGTTTTAATTCACTTGTTGAATGAAGCCAAGATCCAGATTAAAAGAAAAGCAATTTAAAATACAAATCTAAAAGATGAGCTCATAAGTGAACTCTTAAAAAAAAAAGAGAGAGAAAAATCTTTCACAACAGAAGCATCCCAGTTTTGAGCTATTCTCTCTTCCCAGGAGAAGAAAAGAGAAATGAAGTAATAAGCAGAAACATAAAGACACAGGGGGAGAGGGAAGCCAGAATATTCTGTTTTCCATGAGCAGGTAACTTGTCTGTGTCTCACACCCCATGAGTACATGCCTGCTAAGTCACTCCAGTCGTGACCGACTCTTCGCGACTCTATGGGCTGTAGCCCACCAGGATCCTCCGTCCATGCGATTCTTCAGCAAGAATACTGGAGTGGGTTGCCGTTCCCTCCGAGGGATGCTCCCAGCCCAGGGATTGAACCCACATCTCCTATGGCTCCAGCATTACAGGCGAATTCTTTACCATTGAGCCACCACCTGAACCCAAATGCTGAATGTATAAGTAAGACAGAATAATAACCCTTTTAGCGGGCGTTTGACATAGTCTAATAAAACTTTTGACTGTAGTTTCAGAAACATCTGTCTCCTGCATCCATCTTTTGTCTTTGGTCTGCCTTAGACTACAGTCTTGGGTGGAACTAATAGCTTAATTCTGCAAGCTCATGCCTCCAGGAGAAGGAGGTGAGAACACAAAAATATTAGGTCACCATCAGAGAAACGACTTGAAAGCCAGCAGCTGACAGCATTTAGTTTCATCGACTTAACACGGACTATGTAGCTTTTAAAAGTGAATTATGAAAGCAGTCAGGGGCTTGCTTAAGGCAAATGTTGGCAGGTATCACAATCAGACTGCTTGTGGCTACTTCTTAAGCTTCCAGCGGACAGGAGTTTGTGGTCAAGATGGCACAGAGGAGTCTTCAGGATCTGGAGTTCAGCTTTTCTTAGTCTGATGCCAGGCCCAAGAGGGGCATGAAAACTGATTTTTATAGAGTCCAAGGCTCTGACAGTATATAAAGTTTTATAATCTGATTTCTACAACACGATCCTTGCGGTGTAAATTCTCATCCTGCTGAGAAGGCAGAATGGAAGACACGGGTTGTGAGGGGCAAGTCTAGACCTGCTCAAAGCCCAGGGGTTAAAAAGTTGATACCGGTAATTACTTAGGCGGTAAGCCTGAAAAATTCAATATCGAAATCAGGGTTGGTTCGACAGAGATAACCCTGGGCGCTAGGAGGGTGGACAGAGAGACAGGCGTGTGGCAACTGCCTGGCCTCCAACACTTTGGAGCTGTGGGATCTTGCTAAGTTTTCTTATGAAATCAAAGGCAAGGCAAATTTCTTCGTGCAGCCCCTTCACGCTGTCCTGACAGCAAACATTATGCTATATCAAGGCAACTGTCTTCCTTTTTAACTTACAAAACAGATTAAGTACTGAAATTTAAAAATTTAGCCTCACTAATGACCATCCCCCCCAAAAAAGATCTGTGATATAAGCAAGTAAACAAGGTATTAATTCTGACCCTGCATAGTGATCAAGCCCCCTCTAGATGTGTATGCTGATATAAATAAATCAGGTATTCAATTCTGACTCTGCACTTAGGACATGCTCAGCATTAGCACTCTGCTTTTCACTTATTGTACTCATAATTATTCAAAATCATCCACTGAGGCATAGAATGATTGCTATGGCAATTTCATGGTCCTGACTTCAAAGAAGTCACATTATTTTCTGAGATTCACCCAACAGTCTGTATGACAAAATCGGAGAAGTGCTTATTTCTAGCTCTCTGCTTGGCAGGTGACCCAGATGAGTGATGGTGTGACACAGGCAAACATTTTGTTTTGGGTCCTGGGACCTGGTTTTGGGCCCCAGCTCCAGCCCCTCCTGGCCCAGTGGTGTCAGACGAATCTTCAGTGAGGTGTCCTTCTGACTTGCTTTATTTTTGTTTCCTTTAAAACCATAGAGCACTGACATATATACACTACCATGTGTTAAATAGCTAGTGGGGAGCTGCTTCATAGCATAGGGATCTCAGCTGGGTGCCCTGTGATGATCTAGAGAGGTGGGATGGGGTAGGGTGAGAGGAAGGTTCAAGAGGAAAGGGATATGCATACACTTAGAGCTGATTCGCGTTATTATACACAGAAATCAGCACAATATTATAAAGCAGTTATCCTCCAATTTAAAAAGAGAGAGAAAATATGGGGGGAAAGAGAAGAAGGGGGAGCCATATTCCCATTGTTTTCCTCCTTTCTGAAATTCTTCAGCCTTGCCATTAAGCATTTTTACTATGCTCACTAGAATCATGCTTTTATGAAACATTGATATGCTAAAGAATACAATTTCAAGCTACCTAACCATTGCATAAATACAGCCTGGAAGGAGATACCATTGTGACTCACATAAAGTTAATGAAAAAGAACGACTAATGCATAGCAGAGTGTTAGATGGTCTGTTTCTATGAAATCAATATTCGTGCATAATTTACAGAGTAAAATGTACTACAAAGTTTATCATGGATAACTAGAGCCATTCCCTTCCCCACACCTCTTTCCACCAACGTCCTGCTGCCCAGTGGCAAGAGCTTCAGCTTTTTAGCTGATTCTTTTAATGTTTGCTTTCATGTTGCTAAATATTGTAATTAAATTCAGACCAGATATATCAATTCTCTGTTGAAATAGGGGAGGATTTAACTCTCTTATACCAATAAATACACACACACACACACACACACACACACACATACACACACACAGAGGTCTCTGTTACCCATTATCCTCCCGTAACATTATATAACAAATTTGTTACCCTGTGCAATTATTGTTTCCAGCTGAATCACAGAGTGAACTGTGACAACATTTCCTTCTTCACATAATTTTTTTTTCAGTTCACAATTGCCTCAGTTTGGTTGGATGATTTGATTGGTTTTATATGCCCCATCACTCAGTCATTCTTTGATAGAGATGAGGCCTCCTAATATGCCCACATGCATCATAAATCCTGACCCTTTTTTTGATTCATGTTTCTGGAGACTTCTGTCTCTTGCTCTAATCTGTTCTGTTTCCAGTGAATGACTGCAGTTCTATGCCTTCTCTTCACCATCAACCCAGGAACATTTTTTTTCCCTCTCTTTCGTACCAAATCCAGTTTCCTGGTCTCCTATCTTTCTCTTTACTCCTTTGTCTTCCTAGAGCAATGTTCTAGTGGCTTCCATAGACAAGACCTAGGGATGCTTACTATTTTGAGATTTTAATATGCCTTTGAAAAATCTTCACTTTCATTTGCTAATTTGATTTGCTCAAGAATGTCAGGTGGGAAACCAATTTTAAGGGCATTGTAATACTGTTTTTCCAGCTTCCACTGTTGTTACCAAATCTGGTACAATTCTAAAACTCAATCCTTTGTGTATGTGTGTGTGTGCCTGTGTGTGTATGTGTGTGTTTGGTTTGTACTTTTTTTAATCTGTAGAAGCCTCTCAGGTTTTTTCTTTATTTTTGTTGCTCTGGAATTTCATATTAATGGGTCTTGGGTACCTTTCTTTGTATTTTTCTGTTTTTAGTATTTTGGAATCAGTGTAGAAACTCAGGTCCTTCAGTTTTGACATTTTTTCTTGGATTATATCTTTGATAATTTTCTCCCTTCTTTTTTCTCTGTTTATCTTTCTGGAATTCCCATTAATTAGATGTTTTACTTACTGGATTGTAAGTAAAATACTTATGTATTACTTACTGTACTTTTCTTCTTTTTCTCCTTTGATGAGGATAAAAGTCATCTTCGTTCTTCTACCTTTTGAACAATTTTTAATTTTTCCCCTCTCTATTAAATATTTTTAAACTATTATTAATTTCTAAAAGCTCTTTCTAGTTTTCCCATTGCATATTGTTCTTATTGAACTATATGTGTTCAGTCCACCTTGATGTTGAATAAAGACAATTTTACTATTGTCATTATTATCAATGATAAGAAGGTTATCCATTAATATTTCTATTAATAACCATTGCCCATATCCTCTGGCTACTGTGAATAAGAGGTAGTTTAGAAAAGAAATGCTGTTGGTGAGAACTCAGAACCTGGACTGTTTCACGTGTTTTCTGCCTGCCTGACTGACTCTTTCTTCTCCCTCTCAGCTCGATTGCACCTCTTCATTGGCTTTCCCCAAACCTGGGCTCCTTTCCTCCTGTCCCTTTCTAATCGGCCCCTGACTACACCATGACCTCGCTGTGAACCCTCTGGCTCCTGGCAAGTCTTTCTCTCACAAACCCATCTTCATGTTTCCACATTTCCTTCACCTCTTCCTGGTTCCAATTGCCCTGGTTGGCTTTCTCCTTGTCAGGTCATCAGCAGGATCTCGATAATTTGGCTCACAGATCACTGACCCGGCAAGACATAATTGAACTTCAAATTAAGTCCTTTAATTGTGGCATGTGGCCCTGAGCTCCTCAGAGAAAAGGCTTCGTGTGGAGCGGAAAATAATCAAGGAAATAAGAGCAAACAACGGCTTCTCAGAACACATCCCACAACTCCACACACAAGCAGTGAAGGGAAGCTGCGTATATCCAAGTCAGAGGGGTGTATCCTCTGACCTGAGCTCTTAGAGAAAACACAGGGAGGAGGCTGCTCCGAGGTCTGCGAAGACCTCACCTCTGCCCCGGATGACACAGATAGAGAAATATTGGGGTATTTTTCCCCTTTCTTAACCTGGAGTTGTTCACGGAGACAAGCCAAGATCCTTTCTTTGCCTGGAATATGAATTATTGGCGACCCTTCCCCACTGGCCTTTCAATACAGCTACTCAGATTTCTGAAGAAAGTGTCCGTTTCCATTCCTGGGTCTTTCCGTCTTTCTCCCTAAGTAGCGCATCATCTTCCTGCAGAGAATTGGAATTGTGATTGCAAATGAGATCTCTGCTCTTTTGAATATTTCTCATGCCCTTGGGATTCTCCAGCTTACTTATTTATGTATATACAACAGAGACAGGAGTGCCCCAAAAAAGACCTTTATGCACTGAAACTTCTTGGTTTTTGCAAGAGCTTTCAACTCTGGAGTGAAAGGGCAGAGGGGAAAAAATGTGAGGAAATATCAAAGGCACAACAGCAAAACTAACAGCACCTGCAGGTAACATGAAGGGTAATTGTTTGGCAACTTTCTACTTGAGATCACAGTGCAGAGCAACCCAGGAAAAGATACACAGTGAATCTTGCAAGCATGTGAGTATGGTTTAATAACAATACTGTTGTCTGGCTGAAACCTCCTGAATTGTTAACTTGTTAATACAAAGAAATGCTGGCAATACCTTGAGTTAGACACCCCTGGTTGAGTTAACTGTCCACTTCCACCCTCGCTCAGTAAACCTCCCAGTGAGTTCAGGAGGTTTGCCAGTCCCACAAAATATTTTGGTTTAGAATAGAAGATTGTTTATCTTGGCTGATAAAATTTCACATGTCATCTCCGAACTTTTCTTGGGTTGAAAAATACTGAATTCACAGAAGAGATAAGAAACCTCACCCTTCAGAATAAAATAAAGAAAATACGTTTTGATTCATCGAATACTTCACAGGAAGATTAAGTCATGCATGTTCTTTAAATGTTCCCCCACCCCCTGTTGCCTCCCCAGACCATACTCCCTGCAGACAGACATTAGTAAGGCTGAAAAGGGGGACTTTATACCAGCCTCAGACCATTCAGGATACACTCCCTGGCTTTTTGTAATAAAGCCCAAATTTTAAAATTTTGCCCAATCACAACAGTAGGTAATTAGTTTTCACCATCAATATCCAATTGTGAATAAAGTAATAAAAATAACAGTGTAATTTATCCCAGAAGTGACTTTCAAATAATTCTTTCATTGACATTTTTTTCCTGGTAAATATGGGATCTTTGTAATTTCCGTAGGAAAATTGAAGTAATTTGTGTAAAAGAAAGTTTGGGTGCTTTTTAATCAATTGAGAGAACCATAGCCAGTGGAACAAAATGGAAGACAAAAGTGATAATTTGGGGGGAGGGGAAGTATTTCACTAACCAGACCTTAAAAATACCAATATGGCTAAAGTTTCTTTATCTTCCCCAAAGCAGGGACTTGAAGATTAATATTGTAAAGCCTGCCCTGTGAAAGCAAGGATGCAGCTGCTGGCCTGTTTTTCTTGGCAGGCACTGGGATCCTTTGTGGGTACTGAATAAATCCAACATTTGGGGCTGAGCAACTCTAGAACGAGGCTGCTGGATGGTTCTCCTGAGAGTTCAAACACTTGAGTGAAAAGATATGTATAAAACTCACTTCTCGTTGGGATGCCAGGAAACACGGACACTTAACCAGGTGTGAAAACATGGCTGAGCTTCTGTAAGCGTGGAGTCAGATGTCACTGGTCTCAGGAGGTGATGGGAAATGTGCCTTCTCATGCTGCAGATTCTTGGTGAAACAAACCCCTCAGCTCCCCAACCTGCACCAAGAAGTGACCATCTATGCTTTGTGGACCATCTCTACTTTGCAGTTTCCTTGAGGCTTTCAATTATGAAAACATTCCTTTTCTCTTTTGACTATTTTCAAGTTTGGTCCAGGTCAGTAAGCACCTGAAGTTTTTCTCTTTTTTTTTTTTTTTGGACAACAGATAACAAGTTTCATCAACTTCCTGATGAGAGAAAATGCTTTTGGAGTCTCAGCACTCGAGCCTTTGGCATTTTCCTATGCTAGCTAAAGCTAGATAATATCTGAGATCAAATGCACTTGATGAGATTTGAAGTTCCCCAAAGCTTACTCCATTTTTTTTTTAAAAAAGAGAACTTAGTCCAATTACACTCACATAAAAGTGGATCACTTGGTTTCCTCACCAGAAAGATACCATTTTTAAATAAGTTTTTTTTGGAGCCAGTATCTAAATATATCAAGAAATTTTTATAGCAAATAAGTTGCCCCCGGGACGCTAAGAAGCCCAGGAAGAGAATGCTGCCACTTGGAAGACAGCTGAAAAACACAATCTTAACATCTATAGAAGTTATTGAAGTATTTCATTTAAGGAGGGCTGAGAGAAATTGAAAGAATAATTTTATAGAAATAAACAATCCCTAAGGAAATCCTGCTGGCTCTCTCACAAGAACAGCAACTGTGACTTTCCTTTGGCCAGTTTACTAAGTTCAAGTTACTATTCAAAAACAAAAGAAGACATTCGCCATTTTACTTTTACCTTTTGTTGCTAGGATTAAATCCATAATTCCTGGATATTTTTCTTGATTGGTGTAAATCATTGGATGACCAAGACACTCTGTACCTATCCTCACGCAGCTCACTTACAGAAGACGATCACTGTTCCTGATGACCAGAGCATCTTTCAGAGCATCTGAATCAGTCCCTTCAAGATGTATTTTACCTCATTACTCATGATTAACTGATAGGTGGAAACACACACACTGCAATTACACTCCTCGTTAAAGAGCCGAGAGTCTCCTTTTTCTAGATGTGGGCTCTAAGCCCCTGGATGGAACTGGAAGGGAAGATCTGACTCATCCCATTAGGAGGGAGACTTGTCTCAGTCAACATAACCACAAAGCTCATCTGCCCAGAAGACATCTATCCAGTGGTACCTGACTTGTGCGGTCCCTGTCTGGCTCTCCCTTTTCACTTCTACTTAAAGTCTCCTAGACACAGCTTCCTTCTGATTCTGCCTCCTCTGGCTCACCCCAACCCCCTCCTTCCCTGCCAAGCCCCAAGGTCTGCTCTGCACATGAGGCTCTCGGCAGTGTACCAGGCAATGGTCGCCTCATCCCCGCTTCATAATGACAGAGAAAGCACGTTGCCATGGTGTCATGGGTAATCATGACAAAGCGAACACCATCTCTGTGACCCAGTGGAGGAAGCTAAAGGATGATACCTGTCCTGGTCGAAATCAGCCTGTGGAGAGAGATGGGAGGGAAATGAGAAGTGAAGTTTGTATTTTAGACAAAGCTAGGGCACATTGGCTTGAAAACAATACCATGTTACTAGATCTCCAGCAAATAATAATGTTTCAAATAGATTCAGCTTATTCCATATGCTGGATTACAAGAAAGTTGAGAAGAGCTGTCTGTACAAAGAGGCAAGCCTTGAACAAGATTTTGAAGAAAAGGCAGAATAAGGACTCATCATGCAGAGGCACCTGACTTGTGTGGTCCCTTGTCTTCTTACAAGAAGAAATAGTAGCAGCAAAGGCGGGAAGGCAACAGGGGATGGGGGAGGTGAGACGCTGGGAAGGCAGCTAGAAGGTCTCTAGCTGGCTGGTCTGATTTCCATATGGAAGTAGGTAGATTTTTCTGCAGACAAAGGGGAGCCCCTGATGGCTTCTGAGCAAAGGATTGTCATAATCAGAGCAGTATTCTCAAGGAAGATGAATCTGACCATGCAAGTGTGTTGGAGACAGAAGAGAAAAGCAGACAGTACCTGGTAGGCTGGGGCACTCATCTTCAAGGGAGGTGAAGGTCTGAGTCACTGGTGAAAGTGGGGCTGGAAGTAGGGGACAGAGGATGCACCAAAGACTTGGATCTGAGTTGGACCTGAGGAGTGAGAAAGGAACTGCAGTTACTCTGAGGTTCACAGCCCAAGTGACCAGGAAGGCTGTGTCACCAAAGAGGGATCCAAGGAACCTATTCTGGATGTTTCAGTGAGGGGACAGCCAGATGTCCAAGTCTGACCTTAAAGACACAGGCCTGCAGGAGAGAAATGAGCTAAGAGCCAGAAATGGGGATGGGTGTGTGGTGTGGGGGGAAGGGATGGGGTCTGCATAATGTAAGAAATCCCAGGGTGACTGGCAAGGTGCTACTCACCTCCTAAGTATCAGTTTCTAAAATGAATGAGAAAGGGAGAAAAATATGAATATATATTCATTAGCTGCCCCCCACCCTACTTACAGCAAAAATGGAATCAATGAAATTCAGATACAGATAAAGGCTGGAAAGTACAAAAGATCCAAGGAAGCAAGTGCTCTGAAAAAACTTAGTTAAATTGAAACCATTCCTGCCATCTAGAAATTACTTAATAAAATAGGCATATCATGATGTAATTATATCACAGAGCATAACTTGCACTAATGAATAATAACAACCACTCACAAAATCCAAGAATATTTCTTAAAGTACCAAGAGTACTGCTATGTTCAATAAATCACATAATCAAATAGACCTATGGCATTCTTCTGAAACAGTAGGTATTTCTAGATTTGAGAATCTGAGCATCCTGCTTGCCAGAAGTGGCTTATTACATGGGATGTCCAATCTTTGGAATCTCTCACTGAGAACAATGTTTCAGGTCATCAACTGTTGTAAATAATTTGCTTTGTTTGTTTATTCTCTCTTGAAACTAGCAACATGTTATAGCAGTGAAGTTATAGACAATAGTTATTCCTTTAAACAATTGTTTTCTCATTTCTTGAGAAGTTGGTTGTTAGCGGAAAATCTGAATGCACTTATCCAAAAAATTGTCAGGGGCAGAGAAGAAATGGGGACATGTAATAATATTAACAATTTGTATTTCCACAGCATCCTCACTTGAAAGAGTTGAGGATGATTTTAGAGCTATTTTGTAACACCAGTGTAGATGGAAAATGTGATGGTCTTCATGCTAGTGATTTTTGAACTTGGTCAATAAAATTTTCTGCATTGTGTGTGTGATCAGTCACTGAGTCATGTTCAACTCTTTGAGACCCCATGGACTGTAGCCTGTCAGGCTTCTCTGTCCTTGGGATGTCCCAGGCAAGAATACTGGAGTGGGTTGCCATTTTCTCCTCCAGGGGATCCTCTCAACCCAGGGATCGAACCCACATCTCCAGCATTACCTGCATTGCAGGCGGATTTTTTACCACTGAGACATCGGGCAGGGCTTTCTGTACTCCACCAATAGAGTGTTATTAAGATGTCAATTCTTAGATCTGAGTCCTCTTTGAATCAAAGGTCAGTCCTTTCTAAACCTTCACGGTGAATATCTCATCTGAAATGACTTGCACAAAATTTCCCCTAGCTGCAGGACTAAGAAGAATTAATAATTGGAAGAATCATAGCCTTTCATTTTGAAAGAAAATAACTTTGCTACAGGAGTGATAGTGGGGGATAGAGGTAGAAAGGAGGGCCTTTGCTGGGAGATGGGAGTTGTATAGGGAAGCCACCATATGCAAAACTTAACTTCTATCAATATGTAAATAAATAAATAGACAGATGGACATTCCAACTCTGTTAGTGAAGTCCAGGAATGTCTGTCTCCACATTTTCTCAACCCAGCTGCCAAAGATAAGGTAAAATGTATTCCAGCTATTGGAATTCATAAATAATTTGTACAAAGTCCAGGCATCTTTCAACTTTCACATCCTTTTGTGTGGTTCTCAAACAAGTTGGCAGCTAAGGGATCTAAAATTGCTCTCAGCCACCATCCTTCCCCCACTGCCACGAACCCTCAAAGGAGGAGAGGATGAAGTCCTCATGATTCTGCCTTCCTAGCCCATCAGGTGGTTTTCCTGAGGACAGAGGGGAGCAGAGGAATGATCTTTTCCAGTTATGAGAGAATTAGCAAAGGTGAAGCCCAGCCCAGACACCCTTGCACCGAGTCCACAGACACTCATGGAGAGCCAGTCTCGTGAGGGATTCCAACTCCTGCCCTTGGGGCTTCCCAGGTGGCGTTAGTGGTAAAGAACCCGCCTGCCAATGCATGAGACTTAGGAGATGAGGGTTTGATCCCTGGGTCGGGAAGATCCCCCAGAGGACAGCATGGCAATCCACTCCAGGACTCTTGCCTGGAGAATCCCATGAACAAAGGAGCTTGACAGGCTACAGTCCATGGGGTAGCAAAGAGTCGGACACGACTGAAGTGACTGAGCATGCATGTGGGCATGCACTTGCCCTTAAAAAATGTATCAACGGGGAAACTATGAAGCTCCCCACTTGCTGTCACTGTTGGAGATGGCTGGGCCCGGGGACCCTTCCTCTAGGGCCCCCTTGGGCGGTGTGTATCCCTCCCACCACCGCCTCTTCTCAGCCCAGGGAATGCAGAGGGCAAAAGTGTGAGTTGCTTCCTTTGTCTTGGCCCCCACTCTTTTCTCTCTGTCACCATGCTGCATCCCATCTCCCTCACCAGCTATCTCAGAAACACCAGCCTCCAGCTCCCACCGCCCTCCTGTCTCTCAGGAAAGGGTCTGAGGTCCATGGCTGAAGAAGAAATGCCAGCCTTAAGATCTCAGGCTTTCAGGGAGCGGTGTCAGGACAAAGCCAATTGATTGGGAGTTACCCAAGTTACTTTTTTGTCTTCAGGCTGGATGAGAAGACTGCATTGAAATAGATAAACAGGGCTGAGCCTGTTTCAAAGCTTACAAGGAAAGGGAAGTAAAACTGGCTTCTAAGCTGCTCTGTGACGCCACCAAGACCACAATTTTCATTGTACTTGGCGGATGAGCTAATTGTGGTCAGAGAAAGTGCTAGGGCTTGCAATAAAATGATACACTTTTTTTTCCCTAGGAAACACAGCACACAGGTGACATCCTCATGCAATTCAAGTGTTTCTTCAAGGGTTTGAAACGATATTTAAACCAAAAGAGTTCAAGATAAAGGGGAAGGGGGCAGAAAAGAGTATCTGTGTGTGATTGTGAAGGTTGAGTGGTGAGCAGGAAGAGAAGTTCAAAAGAGATAGAATAATGGCTCACAAAAGAGTGATACGTGGGAAGGAGCAATTAATTGAATCAGTCTGTTAAGGCTCAAACAGTCTGATAGAGAGACGACGTAATATCCTGATTCCCAAGCTAGGAGCCCGAGTCTTCCATATGATTAGTAATTAAAGCCAGCTCTAGGGAAATGCATTCTTTAATTTGTATATTCAAAAAGGGCAATGCAGTTAGCTCTCTGACCTCAGTCCAAACTTTCTTTTGGGAAGGTAAATTCTTCAAGATCCTTGAAAAAAAAAAAAAAGTTTGGAAGCATTCTATGTAACCATGACGAACTTGAGGTCCTAATGAAAGAACCAGGAAACAGCCTTCACTTCCTAATGTGCAGCCAACCACATCCTACCCCAAACCCCAAAGTCTGCCTTTGAAGACTCAACCACTAGCCTTCATGAGCTTGAAGGAATCTTACTGGCAATGATATCGCTAGCTTTTCTATTTCTTCCTCCATCTTGTTAGCTGACGCACATACTCTCTGAACCCAATGCGTGCTAATTTGCCTCTGACTCTTTGCGACTTTATGGGTTGCAGTCCGCCAGGTTTCTCTGTCCATGGGATTCTCCAAACAAGAATACTGGAGTGGATTGCCATGCCCTCCTCCAGGGAATCTTCCATGACCCAGGGATCAAATCCATGTCCCTGCATCTCCTGCATTGGCAGATGGGTTCTTTACCACTAGTGCTGTCTGGGAAGCCCCAGGTACCCATATCCATACGCTAAAGTCACCAGGAGCCCACGGCCAATCTGACCACAAATAGAATCATATCAGCCCTGGCTTGGGTAGAGCCATGGGTACCAGAGGAATGGTGCTCCTGATCTCTGTCAAACAAGTCACTAGCACGGTCAAGCTGAGTGTGGAAGAATATTTGATTTTCTTACGCTGTTTTCAAACTGGATAAGGCTCCTCCTCCAACTCTGGGAAGGTGAGTTATTCAAGCTTTATGACCTAGATCACGACAAGCACAAAAAAGCCACTTAAGTGCATGGTATTGGAGAGAAAGATATAAAAAGGAACAATTTATTTTCTTGCAGGGGGATTTTATTCTCTGCTTCCACGAATA